GTATGTATGTATGTATATATGTATATATGTATATATGTATATATGTATGTATATATTTGTGCTGGAGATTTATGCGGTCTGTTGCATATAACTTCCAGCTGGGTTCATTTCGCGAATTGCCGTCATCGGTCATATGAGTATCTAGGTAGAATTCAGTCGCATGAAGGTACCATGTGACTCACTAGCTTCTATATTGAGGAATCTTCTGCTCGACCATAGCAAACACAAACAACATGCTGATGGGCTCATATCATGCTTCCCACTCTTTCCTATGAGCGCAGATTGAGCAAAAGCAGAAAGAGTTGGCTGCATTGGAACAAGAGTACGATTCGCTCCGCCGTCAAATTGACGAGGGAAAGTCCACTGTGTCCAAGCTGAATGAGGAAATCAAGGAGATCAATGTAGGTCTAGAGCATGCAATAATGGACATCGATGCCATAAAGAAACAGGCGGCCGAGCTTCCCGGTCTCTGTCAGACATTAGCGACTCAGGTATGCATGTGTCTTACATCATCCGTCTGCTCCGTATACGTATGTCTTTGAGTGTATATGCCCATGTAGTTGCTGTTTGTTAAGCGTTGTGCGAATACATGTCTGAAAGTGCGCCTTAATTACTGACAATCGCGACCCTCGATCTGTTACGGCCGCAGCCATGTACATGTTCAATCACAACCGCCTCGCCTCGTCTGCATGCACGTTTCTCAAGCGCTCGATCGTTGCCGTTTTAATTAGAATTTACGCAAGGAAGCTATTTTCAGGAGTTTCTGCGGCTGTACTTTAATGAATGTATGTCTGAACCAGGACAAAGACGTATTTTCGCTGACGAGAAAGGAACTTGAAACAAAGATCAAGCAGAATTAGGTCGAGCCTCAATTCATTGTTCAACGAGTCAAGAATTACTACCTGTACAGGTCAACCAAACTCCAGAGGAAAAGAAAGCAGAACAAAAGCTCACAAAGGATCTGGAGGTCATCAGCAGCCAACTAGGCGAGGCAAAGGCGCGTGTTGCTGAGCTCGACAGTCAGATCAAATCACTGCAGAACTCGATTATGGATGTGGGGGGTGTGAGGATGAAAGCACAAAAAGCAAAGGTAAATGGGCAGCCAAGCCAGCGTTTGTCAACTTCTTGGTAATTCACTTGAACTACGTGTTTGCTTGATATCTTCGATCAGATACTATGATGCTCTCTGCGTTTGTCATGTGGTGTGGATAAGGATGTTGGAGATTGCGAAGCGTATACACGCTCGCTTCTTGATAAGTGATATGCTTATATGCCTTCCCACATAAGAAACACAGCAAATTGAGCACGAGGAAATTGTGTCTTAGTATTCTCAATCTCAAGATATTATTAGTATACACTTTGTAAGCATGCATATGCAATGTAGTAGTCTCAATTCGTAGTATTGATGTAGATGATAAAGATCAAATAGCCATAAACTTAGGTTGAGGGGCGAAGCACCCGACTGTTTCTGAACATCAACTCACACAACTCTGATTCTGATGGGCAGATCGAGGGTATCGTGCAGGAGATATCGACAGTCAAGTCTGCAGTGACGAAATCTCAAGTGACCATGAAAAGTGCCACCAAGAAGATACAGACGTGTACAAACAGGCAGGCCAAGACCCAAATAGAGCTGAAAGAGAATGCCCAAGTCATAGCGGCCATGAAGGAGGAGTTTGTTAAGCTGGACGAGGTATGCGTACAACTGAATAGCGGATGTATTATGAATGTTCGGTGATTCTGCGTTGATCACTGATATTAGATATGTAGTATATAGTGAGTGAGAACGAAGCCAATATCGATCGGAAGTATTCTTTTGGGTGGAGCATGATATGCCATAGCATGCATAAAATAATAGCGATTTATAGAGGCTTTCTTACGCCGCGGTTGCTTTCCTCAGGATGCACGCCTGGTGATTGAAGCAATGAACAAGGCACAAGAGCTACTTGAATCCAAGGAGGGATCACTTCAGGAACTAACAGGATCATACGAAAAGAAGAAAGCCGCCTACGCTAAAATCCGCTCTGTACAGGTTGACCTACAGAGCAGCGTGGAGGACTGGACGAAACAAGTATGCTCTCGTCCTACACCCCTGCATTTCTTAATATGCACGCCTATCCGGAGGCTACTTGTCGTGGGACTAAGATCATACGGCTCAAACTGTTCTATGTGTGTGCGTTTTTTAGTGTAGCCATTATTCTGTCCAATATCGCCTTATAAACGGCGCGACAGCTTGGAGTGAAAAAAAAACTAAAATTTTGAATTCTCAAGTAGCTTGCGCATTAACTCGTTATTTGTCCGGCACTCACACTAGGTTCAGAGCAGCACAGCGACCGTCAAAGCCATTGTTCGGGAGATTAAGGCTCAAAGTCTCATTCCCGGCGTGTCTGGGTCCGAAGAAGAGATGCAATTAGAGGCAAGTGATATACGCTGTGCTCTCGTTGTCATTGGATGCTGACTGTTGTTTGCAGATTGTCTTATTGTCTCAACGTATTAGCTTTCTTATAGTAGTACTTGTACGTCCGAGGTTCGCAGCGTCTGTGTATTTGGCGACTTCACCACCTGAGTGGCGTTTGGACCAATATAGATTGCGTACGGCGCTCCGATACTCGGTAAAATGGTTGCGCACTACCAGCGTATTAATAATATATGATCGAGAGTCTGATGAACCCCTTATAAATTTACCGCAGGAATTCTCGGACGTGGATCTGCAGGCAATGGTGGAGGCAGATGAACGAGAATTGGAGAGGGCTATTGACAAGCTCTCGAAAACGATAAAGAACTCGTCGCCAAACATCGGGGTGGTGGCTGAATTCCAAAGGAAGGAAACCGAATACAACGACAGAGTCAGTGACTTAGAGCGGGTCACCACCGACAGGGAAGCCGCCCGGGCGAAGCACGAATCACTCAGGAAGCAAAGGCTGGACATGTTCATGGAAGGGTTCAATATCGTGACTCTGAAGCTGAAGGAGATGTATCAGATGATTACGCTCGGTGGCGATGCCGAACTGGAACTTGTGGACAGTTTGGACCCGTTCTCTGAGGGTATTGTCTTCAGTGTCCGTCCGCCCAAAAAGAGTTGGAAGAATATCTCCAACCTTTCCGGAGGCGAAAAGGTATTGGGCGTGTAGTTCTTTTTCTTCACAATTTAATCGCAACGCATGCATGGCATTGGTGTATGTGTTTACCACCTTACGCTTCTAAAACAGAATGTGACGATTCACTCGCATTGTTATCGCAGACGTTGAGTTCGCTGGCTCTGGTCTTCGCACTGCATCACTTCAAACCGACACCGCTCTACGTGATGGATGAGATCGACGCTGCTCTGGACTTCAGGAACGTTTCCATTGTGGCTAACTATATAAAGGTATTCACGAGCGACACAGAACTTAGAACTTCATAAAGCTGAGAATGAGTGTGGGTTCTGAATAAGTTTGAAGATTTTTATTAAATATATGTCGCTATTTCACCATTTAAACTATATTTTCCCCACTACTACAGGAGAGAACAAAGAATGCCCAGTTCATCATCATATCGTTGCGAAGTAATATGTTTGAGCTGGCCGATCGGTTGGTGGGTATTTATAAAACAGAAAACCACACAAAGACGGCAGCTATCAATCCAGCGAAGTTCAGTTTCGCCGCAAATTTATTACCCAGTTAATTCTGAATAAAGCCCGTCGATAGGAATGTGATATTCTGCGATATTAATTTCGGTTACCAATTCAAGTACTGCCAAATATATCTGACACGTTACATGTTAGTGATTGCTGTACGGCGTGGATAACATAGGAGAGTAGGTCGATGAAAGTTTAGATTATAAGCTGTATCTGATTTCCTTAGCGTGGGGCTTTGTGTGGGATACCGTCGAGGATTTAGCTAATCCAAAATGGTAGGCACTATCCTGTCGTGGATAAAGGCTGTTATAATCTTGCTCTGCAATATAAGAGCAGCACTAGTGGTTATGATTGTACGCACGCGTGCTTTCTGCCACCAGACGCAATCCCCACACGAAGAGGTGCACATACAAGGAGCCACAGCAATACAGCAACAATCTGGACGAACACGTTCGTATGCTCGAATGGGATCGAAACCAGTCATATGACACGTGATTTCTGATTCAGATTCATGACGCTTGTGTTTGCTTCCCTTGTGTACCATCTGAGGCGTTAGCTAGCACTGCTATACAATCCCCAGTAGCTCTCTCTATCTCGAATTAAATACAGGCGCATCGTTACAGCAGCATGCGTATGCGTTCGGGAACTTTGTTCGTTCCAAGTACAGACCAATGTTCGGTGCAGTTGACCGCCCAATAGCGTCCCAGCGGAGTTTGGTTATTCCTTTTTCAATTCCGGTTTTTCCATGTTAGGCAGTGTCTGAACAGTTTGAACAATAGTTAGTTTAGGCGCAAGGCATTGCATAATGAACTGCGTCGAAGAAAAAGCAGACCACATCCTCAAAATGTGCGATAAAACAAAGAGGATCAATAACTTACCGTTTGTCTAACGATTAACAACACCCCAGCCAGTATTAGGGATAGACCGAAACACCACTGCAGTGTGAGCTCTTCTCCAAATAATACTGAACCTAGAAGTGCCTGGAGATATTTATACTTAGCCTCAATAATGAGCTTAGGATGGATTGGCGGAAAAATTGGGTGCAATATTGAAGCAGAAAACGATTTGGGCTAGCCACGATGTGTGTCTGTAGGAATGTCAGTTTGGCAGCTGTGATGGCCAAAAGAGTATCGCGTGCAACTACGGAAAGCAGTAGCGGGTACGAGCTTGCATACCGATACAGAAAAGTTGCACGCCGTGTTGATGACAGTGGCCTCCAATGCACTATCGCAATAGACCAAGGATTTGGAGAAGTAGAACCACATCAACGATTGTGTCACAAAGATAAACGCAATATTGATCAGAACACCAACCGTGTGAGGATATAGAATACCCTCGAGAAAGGTCCCGGCCTGTAGTGATAGGAGTTGGTGATGAATTGAGTAACTCACAATCAGAGATGCAAAGTTAGCTTACTCAAATACGTCCTTCCGCAAGTCCACTTCTATGGACTTCTATATACTTTAGCATGAAAATATTACAATTGTTTAGTCTTGGTTCTTGTGAGGATGCTATAATTTCCAAATCGCAGTGCAACGGTAGTTTTATGCATCACGTGTGCGCAACTTACGCCTTTTTAGAACTTGTACCGGACGCTTTGGTGTTGCACATTCTTACACCTACAACTCTCCAGCGACTGTTAAAGAAGGATCGAACTGCACGCAGAATAGCTTACTTGGATAGATAAGTACTTAGCTGCAAAGTTTCCATAGATGTTGGATCCAGATACTAAACGTGGTTGTCATAAATCTAACATACATTGTTCCCAGCGGTGGTCACGCTGGAATTGAATGTAGCATCCGACACAAGTTTCATAAAGGTGGACGACAGAGCAGCACAACTGCCAGCAACAACCGCAAAGACCCAACCAGCGGTCATGTTGCAGATTTGTAGCGCTCTTCTCGATTGTAAGACGACTCGTTGTACAATGTATGTGTTCAGAATGGGTGTCCAATTCTTATCATACTAATCAGTTGCACCAAAAAAAGTCTGGTCACAAAAAGTAAACAGATCGGTATTTTATACAAAACTACTACTGATTTGTGTATTGGATACTTTCTGTATATAGCGAACACATACGAATAATTACGACCGTGTTCGCGGACCACAAGGGAACACGATGTACTTCACTTCTGTTGGATACGTTTTAATCGCTTTTGGGGTTCCCATTCTGCTGGTGTCGCCCACTATCGCCGGGAATCCTACTTTAGTCGTGCTCTTTCTGCTTAGCGGGTTTGTCTGCTTACTCAGCCTGTTTATGAGCAGTTGTGTGTACCTTTTGATTCCAAGCGGAGAAGCTCGACTATGGATTTCTGTTTTGGCTAACGTTCTTGTCCAAGAGATCTTTCGATGGGGGTCCTTCCGTCTATTAAGGTAAGATCTAGCAATAGATATGAGCTGGTGAGCTGTTACCACAGGGCGTTGGCTACATTGTCGTCGGGAACATTCACCACTAATTTCAATAAGGTCATATCGTCCGAGTTTAGAAGTTGACTTATATTGCTAATTTCATCGCTGGTTTTCAAACAAAAATCTTCACCTGGGCACGCTTGTAGTTGACTAATATTGTGTGCATGAACGCACCTTTCGGAATATCCATACAAGTTTAGCATGATGATTATTAGGAGTATGTTTGGTATATGTGCAGCTATCTCGCATATAAATCAAATAACATTTCATGTTGTTCTAACGTTATATTTATGTAAATAAATACATATATATATATATGAATATCCATATATATATATATATATATATATATATATATATATATATATATATATATATATATATATATATATATATATATATATATATATATATATATATATATATATATATATATATATATATATATATATATATATATATATATATATATA